TGGTAGTTGTTTTTCCTATGCAAAATGCTTAAAAATCCCTGCATGTTATGTTTCTAATGAAAATTGATCCCTGAGGTAATAAACTTGCTGTTGTCCTTATTTCCAAGGTAAGGGAGAAAGAAACTGGCAGGCGGTTAAGGGGTAAATCTGCAGGCAGAAGAACTGTATTCATTAATCCCAAAGGGAAACTATCCTTAGTCACTAAAGTGCATCCCAGCAGAAAGCTCTTATCTTTCCTGCATAGGCTTATTTCTGCCTTACTGTTAATTATACCATACAAAGTGGCAAATCTAATTCTCCTCTCTCTCTCTCCCTGCCCCTCTCCTTCCCTCCCTCCCCTGGCAGCTCAGGTTCCAGACAGTGATGAGCAATTTGTGCCTGACTTTCATTCAGAAAACTGTAAGTAGCATGGGGGCAATCACACATCTCAGGGGAGAAGGGCAGGATACACTTAAACCAAACAAAAATGTAAATGCAACACACAGACATTGAGGCTAAAGTACTCACTTTATTTCTATGTTGCTGTGATGGTGACAAAAAAACCAGGCTAACTGTCCACATCTGGACAATGCAAAAGTATCTTTCTGTGGTGGTAACTGCCACAGTCCCTTATGCAGAGTGCTTTCAGCAGATGTGTATTTTAGTTGGTGTATGTGTGAATAATTAGGCACCCCTGAACAGCAGAGAAAATGCATTACTGTGACAATCAAAGGTAAAATTTGTGCTGTTACTCCTCCCAAAGCAAAAGAAATTGGACTGTACATGGAATTATGGGTGCTGTGTCTCCTGCAGGTGCTTTTTGGGGGTTCTGCTCACCTGCGTGGCCTCTGGCTGAGCATCTGCTGCCAGCATGGCCTCTGTGAGATGATGGTCCTGTCTGCTGCCTGCTGCAGCATGAGGGCACAGTATCCCTGAAGAGATATGCTCGCTAGCCTGCTTGCTCTCTGTTAGGAACTGTCCACTGAACAGATTGCATGTGTTTGCACAGGAGTGTACAGACTGTACCACAAATGTTTGCTCTGAGAACTGGTCAAAGCACTTCACCTTACAAAGGAGCTGAATGTTGCACAGGTACAGGTGTACGTATAGGAACCTTCCACACAATGGCCGTGCAACTCTTTCTGCTTTTCTCACACCGGGCCTGCTTCAGCTGGTCCTCATAGCATGCCACCATTTCACTTGAAAGCTGATGCTGAGCTAAGACTACATGCCTGAAGTGAATACAGACTGTTCGGAATAGCTCTGTGTTGCAAGCAGCTGCAGGAACCCGGAGCCTGACTTTTGACAGGCATCTTGAGGCTACAAGAAGATGCCTTACCATTCCCTGGGCATATACATGTCCGGCAACTAACCAAGAGTAGAGATGCCCATCTAAAGCTGGTGCAGTCCACTTTGGTGCCCTTCCTTTGCTGATATCCTTCCCTGCCCAGGGCAGTTTTCCCCATGAAAACTAAAATGAAGCACTTTCATTGGTTGGTCTTGTCTACCTCCTTCCCCTGGACTTGGCCCTGCCACACAGCCCGGCTTGCTCTCTGAGTCATATATCTTGCTTCTTCCTCTTTTTGACCTAGAACTGAGGAGAGGGCTGGTCCCATGTTTCACTCTGAATGAATGAATGAGCCAGTTGTAATGCGATAGCCTGTTCCAGCTATTAGGGGCCGGAAAGAATTGGCTGCTCCTAGCACATCTAGCTTCTTGAAACTTCAATGGAGTTCAGTGTACTGGACAGAGCAATTCCCCCCTTCCCCCGCCCCCCCTTTTCCCCCCCCAAGACTTAGCCAACGCATCGGCATTTTTCGATGGGTTCTATACATCTGTTTACTCCACACATTGAAAAAAGCTGCTGCAGACAGAAGGGAAATGGATGCCCCAGGCATAGAAAGACCCTTTTCTCTTTTGACCCTTTCCTGGGCCTGGGGTGCTTGCACGGATGCAGGAGTGTCATGCTTGGGACACTGAATGCATCCCAGGTGTGGGTCAGGCCTGCGGGGTCCGTGCAGTCACACCTGCCATCAGTTCAGACAGTGCCAAGGGCTGTTTGTGAACAGGCGCCTCTGCTACGATTGATGGCAGCCCCAGGACTGGCTGGGGGGGGCCGGCGTCCAGGACTGGCTGTGGGAGCCAGCTGTCCCCGAGAAAGAGTAGGAGCCAGAAACAATATGAGGCTCTGGTATCTTAAGGATTTATTTACTTATATTGGTTCTGTCAAGCTGTTTGGATCCCTTTGGGTGCTGGTGTGATGTAAAGATGGGCTTTTCTGGCATAGGCTGAAGCTGAAGGCAGGCAAAAGGAGTCAGGTTTGGGGTTTTTTTCCCCTCTTGCTGAGAAAATTAATTTTGGGGAGGGATGTTCGCAATAGGAAGTGGCCTTAATATCCTATGCTAAGAGAGACAGCAGCAGCCCTTCCTCCAGCCCTTTGATAGCTGCTTGCTGCAGCACTTCTGAAGGGACAGTTAGTCCTTTATGTGACGGAGAACTGGCTTCAGGATGGTTGGTGCACATACAGTTCAGGTCAGTCCTGAAATAAACTCAGCAAAAATATGAGGTCTTAACAGATCAGGATGTTACTTTCCATCCTTAAAACTGTAATCACAGCTCTGAACATCCCAGGCTTTGTAAGCAGCATCGTGTCAGCTTGAAGAGGTGGTAGTAAGCTGGCGAAGAAGGACTGGAGCTAGCCTTATTAAAAGCTTACAGTTTTGATTTGGAGGGCAGATCTTTCCCTTGTCTGAAAAACAAGCCTAGACCTATGTACCTTTCTGGGGTTACTCTTCTTTCCTTCCTAAGTGTCCGTGACCTCCTAACAGCAGCAGCAGAGCCCAGAGGCAAAGGTAGAAGATGCTTACTATGTCCTCCAGACAAGATAAGCTTCTCTGAGGAACTAGTGAAGGAAGTTTTGCTCCCTGATGAATTTAATTAAGCATAAGAAATAAGAATACCCACATCCTACTTCCTGGTGCTGTAAACTGCAACCCACATTTGTTATTCATGAAATTCTAACCAGCCCAGAAATATCCCTCCTCGTCTGCATCAGGCTGTGACTACAGTGCACTGAAAATGAAAAGGAACCTTTTTACTTTTTTCCTGGACTGTCACTGGTGTTTTGGATGAGCAGAGCAGTTACGAGATTCCCCCGATCCCACATTCAGGGATGTTGGACTGTTAGCATAGAAGAGATTCAACAAAGGGAAACCTGCATTTGGAAGTGATACCGGTAGCTGCTGAGTGCCAGCATGGCAGCTTCCCGCCCAGGAATCACAGTATCCTGCAGAAGGGGCTGGCCTTTTTCCTGAGTGCTGAAGTATAAACATGATAAAATTAATGAAATTAGATACTTCAAAGGGAGGCTACTGAGAGGACTGCAAGCTGCTTTTCGAACTTTGAGGTATATTATAGTGAAAGCAAGGACTTGGAAGTCAGACTTCTGCTTTCTTCTGTGCTTTAACACAGATGCAGTTCCTTTGGAAAAGGGATTTTAGCTATGTAAATGGGTTAGGTGCTTCTGAAAACCCTACTTGTGTAAGGTGTCTGTGAGCAAGTTAGCCTGGTGACAGCCTGTAATAGTATGCAATACATATAATAGTATTTTCCCACAGAAAGCCTTCAGCTTTTGTAGCTATGTCTACAAAAATCTTACATTTATTGTCCTACAGGACAAATGATACCATCAGGAAATCGACAATGTGTCATCATATTAGTGCATTATAATTTAACACAGTGTTACATGGTAATGCTACTCACAAGACATGCTTACCAGGTATGCCAATGAAAGAGCATTTTGCATGATGCAAATCAAAACTTTGCTTTTATGTGTTGAAAAATAGAGTATGTGCATGCTACCACTTATGACATAACAGAAAATGTCTGTCCCAGCCCTGAACAATTTAGGAAATACCCACTCTAAATCCTTTTCAGGCTGCTTTGGATTATCACAGAGCATGTTAACACTACCTTAGATTTGCTCTTTTGAAGTTGATGTATCATACAAACCTTACTAAATGAAGGGCAAAGCTCAGGAAAGTCCAGTGAACAGTTGTGTGTATTGGTATTTTGTTTCTCTCAGAGCCAGCTGAACAAGGACAAGGTGGTGTGGTGACATCTCAACTGACTTTTTACTGGCTGATAAAAATATCTCTCCATAAACAAGAAAAGTGTCAACTTGATCTTTCATTTCTCTCCCACAGTAGCTTTTCACAGTCCTCCTACTAAGATTAAAAAGGAGCCGCAGAGTCCCTCCTCGGACCCCACACTGTCCTGTAACCTTAAGCAGCCATTCCAGTACCACAATGGCGAGCAGTGCCTTTACGCCAGGTAACACAGCTTACACAGGGGAGGGACAGGAGCTGTTATGAAGTCAAGTGCTACTGCATTATCTAATAATGAAGTGTTATGACAACGATCTGGTCTGTCTGCTGGGTAAGGGCAGTGCACACGTGCTGCAATACAAATTAACCAGTGGGTCAGCTCATGGCAGCCTGCTCAGACTGACATTTATTGCACTGGATAGCTCAGACCTGTGCAGAGTAGATCTGGGCTTGCCTCTTTTCTCTTCTCCCTAGTGCTGTTCCTCAGCTGTCCTGATGCTGAGAGCAGTCTTGACATCTGTCACGTGCCTCTCTCTCCCCATTGCTTTCCAAAATCTGTCCCGCAAGGAGCTCCCTGACACCACCGCCCACAGTCCCAGCTATGTGCCTGAGTTATAGTACAGCTTCTTCAGTGCAGGCACCTTCTCCAGTTTTCTGCTTGAAGGGTTATTGCTATTGTGCATGGGGGCAACCAATAATCAGAAAGGAAGGAGTTTATGCTGGGAGTTTTCTGGCCTAGGTGGCCGCATAGAGGGACAGCGTGTCTGCCTGTGACGCGTTCTCCCCAGGTGCTGCCACAAGTCCTTCTCGGAGAACTGTAATGCTCCAATATCTGTTTGACTGTCCCAGTGCCTATGATCAACCCAGAGAAGTTGGAATCAAGTCCCCCAACCCAGGAACCCTGATAGAGTCACGGCTCCATCAGTTCCCTAGACAGGACAGGAGCTTCCTGACCCCTGCGGGGCCACCCCACCCCACATCCAGCTGTGGATACCTCAACGAAAACAGGTGAGTTACTGCCAGGAGGAGGCAGCCACTGGCAAGAAAGATTGCCCTCCTTGGTGATTCAGGGAGGAGGGGCTGCAGCATCCAAAGCGCTCAGTTTCCAGCAATCACAGGATCCCCCCATCCAAAGTACCTGGGACCCACCACTGCTGCCTAGGGTTTGAAGAAGCAGTCTATAACCTTAAGCCCATCTGATTCTGTGAATGATGGGCTGTGTAGCTGCCCCTTGGAAACATCTTTCATTGGGGTCCCTTTCTTGCCCCAGCTATGCGTGCAGCTCCTACAGCCCTAGTAACAGGCTGAGGCCGAGGAATTTTCTGTCCCTCAGCCAGCCCTGCACCAGGGCCGAGATCAGAGGGCCAAGAAAGCAGCTGTCCCATGTCCTCTCCCCTCTTCTAGCTCTGCGTACCAGCCACCTGTGGAGATGTGCCGTTCCTTCCCCTCCTCCCAGGGCATGGCCCAGGAAGACCCCATTGCCTACCAGTGCCAGATGTCCAAGTCCTGCCTCCAGTACCCTCATCAGGGCTTCAAACAGGAGTACCATGACCCGCGGTATGAGCAAGCAAGCCAGGCGGGCAGCAGCCATCAGTATCCAGCAGCTGTAGTCATCAAGCAGGAGCAGGTGGACTACGTGTATGACTCAGGTAGGCAGAACTAGCTCTTTGTGACTGTGTAAACCAGGCATCGGTGGGGGTGAGCAACCTCCTGGGTGAACATCCATCACTGGTGGTCTTTGGGCTTTGAAACAGTACTACTTCATCTTCAGGAGCATGTGTGGTCTGGGAAACTGGCTGTGTAGCAGGAAATGCAAACAGTTCTGTCTGTTTACTGCATCCAAGAGATTCATTTTCTGTACCGTGTTCTGAGAAGGACTTCCTGGTAGACAGTGGAAAGGTTTATAAAGACATAGCAGCTAGAAGGTGATGTTAAACCCATTCAAACTAGATTAAAGGCATGCATTTTTTTCCAAAGGAATAAGTAGCCATTGGGGAGACTCTCAAAATTCATAATTAGCCCACTGAAACCATCAGAAATGGAGAAGAGTGCATTCCCAGTTTCACAGGGAGTTTTTGTCTTCAGGGGGATCTGTGAGCAGGTAGGTCGTAGAAAGGGAGAGAAGTGAAGTTAGCTTTGAAGAAATTAAACTGAAAATCTTCTGTAAATGGCAGCAGAAAGGAAGGAATCAAATATCTTGGAGTTCGTACAGAAAAACTGTCTCAGATCCCTGCAGCAGGAGGGGACCTTCAAGCACTGGCAGAGGAAAGCTGCCCTGGATGCAGGGATTGCAATGCACAACCCTGAGCTGCAGCTCACGACACTGTCTGACCCTGTGCCTTTCCCCTGACTGCAGGCAGAAGAATTTAATTCACAAAATGGAGGCAAAGATGCAGCTTTCCCAGCCCAGCTGGTGGGTGTCAGCTTTCACTGCTGAGGTCTCTCACCGGCAGCTGACACCCTCTGGAAACTCACGGCAGCAGGTCACAGAGAGAGTTGATGTCCCATTTTGGAACTTACCATGCGAGATAAACCAGCTTTGTTCTGACAAACAGATTGAAAAGTCTAAAACTAAAACAGTCTAAAGAGACTTGGGTGGCCAACTCCAAGGACAGGCATAAGCACAGAGCAGGGTCTGGGTTGACTCGGCTAAGTGCAAGCATGCTGCTTTGTGTCTCTTACAGTGTCAACCTCCACCTGCTACTTCCCATAGAAACAGGGCACGCAGAGCAGATAGCAGAGATCTCAGAGGATCACGGGAGAAAAAAGTTTATGATTCCAAAAATAGCTCTCTAGATACTAGATCAATCAGGTAATCCTCTTATTTTTCCACAAGGGATAAATCTTATTTTTTCAGCAGATTCGTCGGAAGACTTGCTACCCTGACATCACAATACCCTCTTTTACAGGGAATGTTGCTTCTGGTTTCCTGGTATTTTAATGGACATTTTGAATTGTTTCCTTTAGCAGAAATAAATACATAAATAAAAAGCTCCTATGGGGGTATAGAATCCACCACTGTGGCTATGCTGATATTACACTTTCACTGGGTCCTTCTGTCCAGACAGCGGAAGAAAATGTGCAAACCCCGAAGAATGCTTTTTGTGAGAGTAGTTTACGATTGTAATAATACACAGTCTACCAGCTCAGGGTATCCTTCTACCCTTAGCATCAGCAAAATGTCAGCTGAGAGCAATGGCTATACACAGGAGTATGAGGGAAATGTAAGGTAAATCTTTTCAAAGCTCACAGTAACACCTGCCATTTCAGCTGTGGATGGAAAACAGGTTTGATTCAGAAAATGCAGGTTTCAGAAAACACAAGATGCAGAAGATATAAATTGCAGTGCCCAGGCAACAATACATGCTGCACAGAGATCATGAAAAGATTATCTGCTTGTTTTCAAACTCAGGCTATTTTTTATTTTATGTTTTCTCAGCTGTTTGTGAGAATGCCCTGTCATGATGTGAAAAGACCAGCGAGACTTAAGACATCTGAAATGACATTTGTGAGACACTGTCTGTAGTAAACATTCAAATGCTGCTGCTCTCCACTAACACCATCATAGTACCCCTGGGAAAATGTAATGCCTTCTCACCTGTGAAAACAGTAGCAGAGTGCATAGTTATCTTAATTAAGATGAGGGAGAGGTGTCAAACAAATCTAGCCTATTGTCCAAGATTTTGTATTAAGAGTGGTGTATAGGTGACTGACTGGCTATCCTGGCTACTCTGAAGGAAGTCATGTGATAGTACCAGAAAAATTTACTAGTGTAATTCATGACTGGAAGCATGATGAAGACGAAGTTGTGGTGGGATGGCTGAGACAAAAAAAGTTATCAGTCTGCCACCAACCCTTTAGGAGGGCCCTAAGAGGACGTTGGTTAGACAGCTGCACTTACCTATCCACCTCTGGAGAGCAAGGTCATTCTACGTCCTGTGCTTTTTAATTAAATGAGTTTGTTAATTGTTCTGTAGATGTTCCTGGCTGTCCTTCCATGTACATAAATGTTGAAAGTTATCCAAGCCATTCAAATACAGAAGATAAATTAGGTAAGAAACTCAGTGGCTGTCATCTTTTCCCTGCATTGCATTGCCCTCTAGTACTACCCTGTCTTTGTCTATGACTGCCTATGTTGCTTTCTCTTTCAGGCTGCAGCTATGACAAGCAGATGAGGTCCTTTACTGACGATGTCTGTGTTGTTCCAGAAAAATTTGAAGGTCGGAGAAAGAATGGCTTCCAGTTTGGGTGTAAGATAGGGTTATCCAGCATCTTTGCTAGCCACTTGACCACTGTCTACATAGTTCGTTACACTGTGTTCTTGCAGGTGTGTTAGCTGTGGTTCATACCTGGCTTTTTGGTATCCCATTTCTTGAGCTTTTTTAGCAGCAAACAGGCCTTCTAGCATAAATAGCTTAATTGTGAGGTTCATCAGAGCTCCTCTTGGAAGAGCTGGTGGTGAGTTGGCCACTCTGTTTTATGTGAACTGAAATATTCCAGGTAAACATTTGTGAAATGTGCTTTTTTTTTGCGACTGTTTTTGCACTGTTACCCTTAGAAACACCTTGTTTGTTCTTCTCAGCAGGAGACATCAAGCAGGAAGCCGGAGGGTACCGGGAAGGACCTCCATACCAGAGACGGGGATCTCTTCAGCTCTGGCAATTTCTTGTGGCTTTACTGGATGATCCGACCAATTCCCACTTCATTGCCTGGACTGGTAGAGGGATGGAGTTCAAGCTCATTGAGCCAGAAGAGGTGAAACCATTTAGCTTCTCTACAGGCTCAGGGGAAGCAGCCACTGTTTCTGAGGCTGCAATTTCCCAAGTGGCTTTTCCTCTGCCCTGTGAAAGCTCCTGCCTACCAGTGGTACTCGCTAGACCCTGCAGCAAGTCAAGGTTTTAAGAAGAGGTCAAAACACTTGGGTGACACAAATATCAGGTTTAAGAAAGGCTGCTTGTAAGTTTAGAGTCTCAGCAATGCAGTGAGTCAAATCACCCACTGACTCCACTTCCCTAGACTCTTCATCCTCAAGCTTGCAGTGACTTGTGCTGTCTTATCACGCTCCATACTTGAGGCTGACATTGAGGTTTGGAGTTTTGAATCCTACTGGTTGCAAAAGTTTTCATAAAAATCTTGAAGAAATTATATCCTAGTCTAAATATATTTTTATATCAAAATGACGTTAACTAAGGCGTAATTTCTAATGCTGTCATGTTCCAAAAAACCCAATGATATCTGACAATATCTGGGAGATGTGTCTGTAATATCTGTTCATACCTTGCTCCGATTAGAGCTGCATTTAGTACTGTTCTTGCTACATATCAACCTTTACGGGCACTTTCAGTGCAGATGAGTTGTTTTGGTGGGCTGACGTATGCTTACAACAGATTTCTGAGTCTCATGGACAAAGCTGAAAATCATGTAGTAGGAGGAAGAAAGGCACATGGGTCTTCCAATGGAGGTGTTCCCTCATACTTGGGCTCCTGGTAAACATGTGATCCTTGAAGATGAAGTGTAGCATAGGATGAAGCAGTCCTTTAGCATCCTCAAGTTTTCAGAGTACTGGAGAGTGAGAAGTGGTGACAGCAAATGAGCTCTGTAGTGGAAGCAGAATGCCTCTCTGTGATATAGGGTGCTTCGGCTTGAGTTCTACTCTTCTTGTTGAAAAGCTGCTAAATAATTATTGTTTGAGTCTATTATTTAAAAGTTGTAAACGTTTGTTCGTGTTGTGGTACCGTTCCTCAAAAGAGAATCAGCTAGATAATGTTCTTTTGCCCTTGGGTTGTGTTCACAGACATTCATGCACTTTGATGCTTTATTCTACAGGTAGCCAGGCTGTGGGGTATCCAAAAGAACCGTCCAGCCATGAACTATGACAAGCTGAGCCGATCCCTTCGCTACTATTATGAGAAAGGCATCATGCAGAAGGTCAGTTTGTAAAGCAGATGGAGTTTTTATGCCTTTAGTGATGCTTCTCTTATTAGAGACAGGAAGTCTTACAGGTACAGAATGTACTTGAGCTAGCCAGGCATCCTGAGATTTCTTTCCCCATGGCTTCTCTTTGCAGCAGATAAATGAGGAAGGAGTAAAGGAGCTGAATCTAGGCAACATATGGAAAATAAAACAAAGGGGAATCATGATTTCTTTCTTTTTCTGTATACGTCTGCAGTCAGGAGAGTTGGAATTTATGCAGCTGCAAGGACATGTAATCAGTCTAGACTTGGTGTTGGTGAGAGAAAGGCTGTCTGGGGGTTGGTCCTATGTGGTAGGGATGGTCTCTTGCAGATCCAGGGCACCAGAGAGGATAACTGTGAGTGTAATATGTCACAGTACAGACTGGTCAGGGACTGTTGATGCTGTTGCTATCTGGACAAAGAGTGAGCTGGCAGCATCCCATTTCCCAGGGGAGACCAGAGCAGCAGAGAAGGAGGAGGACAGCACAAGAAGTTTGCAACTCTGACGTGTCTCAGGGCGATGGGCTAGAGCAGCCAGATGTTTTTGCAAGCCTTCTCCGCTGCTGAGGAGCATTGCCTAGTGCTGCCTGTGTGCCTGCAGCATTCATCTCATATCTTCCCTGCAGGTGGCTGGAGAGCGCTACGTGTACAAGTTTGTGTGTGAGCCTGAAGCCTTGTTCTCTCTGGCCTTCCCTGATAATCAGCGGCCAACTCTGAAGGCTGAGTTTGACCGGCAGATCAGTGAGGAGGACACAGTGCCTCTTTCTCACCTGGATGAGAATGTCACTTACCTGCCGGACCTTGGAAGCCTCCCTCCACAGCTTTACAGCAAAGGCTACACGTACTAGCATTGCTGGGAGCACACTGTGCCAGCCTTACTTGTGTATATAAGGAGATGTCTGGTTAGTATTCAATCAATATAAGCGTTTTTGCAGGCCAGCCTAGGGCAACACTAAACTATGAATACCTGCTTTGGTCAGGAAAAATGTTCAGGTACACATGTGGATAAACACCTGACAGTTAACAGGGCTCTTGTGTGCTTGTGATAAGACCCTCATATTTGTCAGGATGGGACTTGTTCTCAGCGATGCAGATGTCTTCTGAGCAGCGGAGCTTCAGCAGCATATTCGGTAATTGCTGCCTCCAGCCGGAACAAATGAGGCTGTCACAATCCCTCTCTTTGGCAAGGGAGGAGATGCCATCCTACTAGGCTTTTTTTCAGATATGAGGATGCTACAACGCTGCTGCTGACTCCATTCCTCCAGTACATGTACTGAACCTCTGTGTAACCTGCCCTCAGCAAGGGATGGATCTGACCCACATGGACTCAGCTCTGCAAGGCCAGTCTTGCATTCTTCCCAGCATGACTGGAACACAGTGGTCACGGATCATACGCCGTCCCCATGAACTGCTTTGTGGGAATGGGGAATACTTGTTGTCTTGTATGTGTACGCTCCTGCCTTATCTCCTCCTTGCTCATAACACTTCATGCCAGGGCTATCTGGTATTTAGGCACTCTGTCTGAGCAGGGTAGCTGGAAGCACTGGCCAGGATTAGAGCAGTCCTGCAGTACATGGCACGACATACAATTTAGGGGAACTACAGAGCTGCCTGACTGCATTGGTCTGGGGCACAGGTCAAAGCCAATGTCACCTTCAGGTAGAGGGATTGCAGGAGGCAGCAAGGCCTGAGCCACCAGTTCATTTTAGTGTTATGGCTTTTCGAAACTGAACAACTTCTTCAACAAACATCCTCAGGATCTTTGAAGACCTGTCAGGCTCTTGAGTGTGCCCACCCTGGGCTTAGCTAGAAAATCATCTGAGGCAAGAAAAGAACCTGGTGGAGGTGTGTGTTAAGAAAATGTTTTATAAAGTAACCTAAACCATACATAGTTCTTAATATCTGAATTTAGACTTAACCTCCACAGATGTTTGCATGTTTGAGGGAAATCCTGATGTGTTGGAAAGGCAGCTACCTCTGCAGCTCAATGCAGCACATGCAACTTAACTAGACTTTGACTGGTTTTCCACAGTAGTGAACATTTATAATGGGCACCGTATCTTCATTGAGAGGTGCCTCACTTTTTAATTAGCAGCTCTGACCACGTGCCCAGTTAGACAAGGGCAGTACAGTGTACCCATACAGAAAAGGCCTCTTTCCTACTGCTTCAGATTGATGTGCCAGCTGCTGAATACAGAGCATTGCCAATGCTGCCAATGTGGTAGCCTGTAGAGGAAATTCTGTATGTTGATTGAAAGCCTGACTTCCCCCGGTGACTCTCCCCTGCATGGCTAGTGCCAACCCTCCCAGCCTTGTCGCTGGGCACGAGGGCCAAGAAAGGCAGCTCTCCCTGCCTGAGGAGAGGCCAGATACTCAGAGCAGCCTGCTCTGCTGATGCCTTTGCGTGCCCTGTGCAATCCAGAGACTTGGTGTTCTGGCAGCTCCTGGCTCTCCTGCTTTGCCCTGCTCCCACCTGGAAAGCACGCTGCCTCTGGTGTCCCAGAAGTGAGGGTGAAGGGGAACCCTTCCACTGGTATAAGCTGCCTTTACTATTTATAAGTGTAAAAATACTATAATTAATAAATTGTTCTATGTCTTTGGCCAGCGCACCTTCATTCAGTCCCTGGCTAGTCCTCCCATACCTTCCGAGCTTGCTTTCCCCATCTCCTTGGCACCAGCTTGCAGCTTTGGGTAGCTGATCCAGAGAGTTCAGGGATGCGTGTTTACTTCTGAATCTTGGTGGAATTCAAGAAATGAATACTTCACTCCCTTGACATCCTCACAACCAGTCATATAACCAGGACTGAAAGATCAGTCGTCCTGAACCAGGATGAAATATGTAACCTTCGGCTGCACCTGGTGTCAGGGGAACAGTTCTCTGCAGCAGCAGAGAACATCGCCCACGCTCCCACACTGACAGTACACTGGCCACTGAGCCAAGCTCCATGGTTTTAATTAGCTTTTCCCTGAACTTCATCTCTGTCTTGAGCAGTGGCACTTCCAGGTTGCTTGCTAGGAAAGTGAGCATGTTACCACCTGCTGAGCTGGTAACATGATAAGGCAGGGCAGGGCACACCAGCAATGAGAGTGGCACCCTGTCCCCGGCAGCAGCGCTGAGAGCCCCGCCAGGACACAGCCACCCACGTGGGCCTCAGCGAAGGCTACAGCAAGGACAGGAGTCACCCTGAAGTGGAGGAGCCCTTCCACACTGCACCTTCCTCAAGAGGGTCAGGTACCTCCTAAAGGAAGTATTTATGCCTTCTAGAGGCAAAATGTAGGTGCGGGCTGTACCCTGCTGCCATGCTGTGTTTCTAATGGATGAGACTAGTAGCTTGCTTTTATTTGCTATCTCAATCTGCAGGATTCCCAAGGATTTTACATTTATCCAGTATTCTTTGGGCTACCCTCTGCCCAGCCAATCTTCCTTCCAGAAAGGGAATTCAGGGAGCTAGTTCACATTTGGATGAAATTTTAGCTCCATGTTTCACTCAGGTTTGTCAAGTCAGCGCAACAGATCGATAGCTGCAGAGCAGTTCTGGGAATCAGCAAGATCAGGTTCTCATAATCAAGGGGCAGTGACCTCCAAAGGGCAGAGATTTATAATAACCAGATCAGAGAGTTGGGAGTCAATAAATACACTCTGTGTTTCCAGTTCAGCAAGACAGAGACACAGCTGATCAGGGAAAGATTTTGGAGGTAATAGACAAGTGTCATAAATTTCTCATGCTGGTCCTGAAAGTGCCAGCCCCATCCCACCACACAGATGTTTCAGCTTTGCTATCTAGTCACTCACATTCCTGTTCATACAGCAAAGTTGCAACAACTCTTGATACAGACAGCAGAGCTGTCTTTTCCCGAGTTGAATGCTTTTGGTGGAGTGGGGAGAAGTGCACGTTACTGTGTGACAGCTTATACAGCCAGCATAACACACCTTTAAGTCAGTATCCCTTCACCACACAAATTCACAGCTGAGCTTTGCTCTACATTAGGCAGGTAAGAAAGACATCATTCTTCTTCATGGAAAACCCTCTGAAGACAGAGTTCTGCTCATGACAAACACTCTGACATCCGGATGCAAATATACCTAACATTCTCACACTTTTTTACTATTGTTTACTCATTATATTCAAGATTTATTCTAGCAGCTTATTCCTCAGGATGTGATAATGCTTTGGGACAGCCAGAAATGAATTCTCAGCAGTCATTTCTTCCTAATGTAATTTTTTCTAGAATTTTTTTTCACTGTGGTTGCTATTGTTGCAACAGCTTTCCTGTCACTCCTGCTATATCAACAGTACAAAGCCCAGCAGGAAGCATCATAAGTCTATTACCCAGAACATGATGCAAAGTTCCTTTCTGGTCATAGTAAATAATTAACATGTAACATTACAGCATGTCCCAGATGCACCCTTAAAGTGTACTGTCCAGGGCAAAAGAATTACTACTAGTATTAACAGGTTGCCAAGCAGAGCTGAACTATCCAATGTAATTTCTGAGGCTAACCCAGGAAATATTTCTATTACCAGATTCCATACCCTAAAATAAGTATGAATAGTGATAATGAAGAACAAGGACAGCAGCAAATCTCACTTTATGGGTTGAGCACTGAACGGGAAGGCAAGAGAGTTATTAGAAAGTGCATTCATCTTTTTCAGGCTGTATATAACACAGACGGCTGATGTCATCTGGCTAGGCAAAGCCTCGACAACGTGCCTAGAGCCTGCAGGCAGGTCGGAAGGGACGATGCATCATTCCTAGCAGTGCTGAGAGGAGTGCCAGGATGAGATCTGCCAGGAACGAATTCTGGCCTGGCCAGGTCAAGACTCCAAAAGCCACATGAACCGACCAGTGTCACCTCAAAAGATGCGGAGAGCAGCAGATACCCTTTTGACCCTTTGATGCCATTCCTGTCCTGGTGGGGCCATTGAGCTCTCTGTTCCAGACAGACACTCCCATGTACACTCCCAATATTCTTATTCAGACCTATTTAAGAGGCTCAGCAGAGCAAAGGAAACCAGAGCTGGCCATGTCCCCTTCTGGTCAGTACTTTTAACCTGAGCCCAGGAGGGACTTGTCTCCTTTGCAGCACTAAGCCTGTCAGTTACAGTGCAGGGTCAGCATGTGGGACTCACCAGCTCCCTGCTCTGGTGAGCCACGAACCTTTGGCTTTGCCACAGTTGAGTTTCCAGGAAGGAGATAAGCAGCTCCTACACAACCCCGTAAAACACTCCCATGGAGGTTTCCACATGCCAGAGTCTTCGGAATTCGGAAGAGCTTGCACTTGCTCTGCTCAGCATTCAGGCTTGGGGATGAGGTGACCCCAACGGGAGCAGGGTGTCATTTACACCATTAAGCCAGCCACAGGGGAGCATAGGTATCTCCAAGGGCAATAACACCATGACATTTGACTCCTTGTAACATTTTACGGAGGTATAACACTCCCGAGAAGGATGTTGGCATTAGTTTTGTTGATATGCTCAGGAGATTCATTCTGATAAATTTATCAGCCCTAATGACACCTATACACATCTCCCCATCCTCCTCTGCATTTGAATCACAGCAACGTTGTAATCTACCACAACATTAGAAACCATTTTGCACAATGAATATTGATCTCTTCATGCCTTGATGGCTGACACTTTGATGAGACGGCAGAGGGGGAAGTGCCCGCCAGCATGCTGAACACAGAGGCAGAGAAGAGCAAAGCTGAACTCAATGGAGGCCTTAGGCTGTTTGGCCTCAGCAGGAGACCACCATTCAGTCAACCCTGAGGGCAGCATTTACTGCCCCAGGGCAGTATTCACCCCTCAGGCTGGCAAACAGAGTACATTCCCCTCCCTGCAGCCAGGGAGGGCAGCCATGCACAGCCCTCCTCTGCAGCCCACTCCTCTTTCTGAAGAACACGTCGACAGATACCAGCCTATGTAGTTGTAAACTCCCTAAAGGCTTTCCTGCGTCTGGTCTTTTAAGAAAGAGTAGCTGAAA